TTCAGTTCTAGTTCAGTTCTAGTTCAGTTCTAGTTCAGTTCTAGTTCAGTTCTAGTTCAGTTCTAGTTCAGTTTTCTAGTTCAGTTCTAGTTCAGTTCTAGTTTAGTTCTAGTTCAGTTCTAGTTCAGTTCTAGTTCAGTTCTAGTTCAGTTCTAGTTCAGTTCTAGTTCAGTTCTAGTTCAGTTCTAGTTCAGTTCTAGTTCAGTTCTAGTTCAGTTCTAGTTCAGTTCTAGTTCAGTTCTAGTTCAGTTCTAGTTCAGTTCTAGTTCAGTTCTAGTTCAGTTCTAGTTCAGTTCTATTTCAGTTCTATTTCAGTTCTTTTTCTAGTTCAGTTCTAGTTCAGTTCTAGTTCAGTTCTAGTTCAGTTCTAGTTCTGTTCTAGTTCTGATCTAGTTTTGTTCTAGTTCTGTTCTAGTTCTGTTCTAGTTCTGTTCTAGTTCTGTTCTAGTTCAGTTCTAGTTCTAGTTCAGTTCTAGTTCAGTTCTAGTTCAGTTCTAGTTCAGTTCTAATTCAGTTCTAGTTCAGTTCTAGTTCAGTTCTAGTTCAGTTCTAGTTCAGTTCTAGTTCAGTTCTAGTTCAGTTTTAGTTCAGTTCTAGTTCAGTTCTAGTTCAGTTCTAGTACTGTTCTAGTACTGTTCTAGTTTTGTTCTAGTTTTGTTCTAGTTCTGTTCTAGTTTTGTTCTAGTTTTGTTCTAGTTTTGTTCTAGTTCTGTTCTAGTTCTTTTCTAATACAGTTCATGGGAATGCATAGTTTAAACCAATAAATTTTAAAAGTTTTAAGATTTAAACATTCTTTTAAAATTAACGCTTTTAAAATAACATTTTTAAAATATTTTACCCCAAGTACAAGTTATCCTTTAAAAACTGTTATAAAAGCTTTTACATTGACTTCTGACATTAAAGAGAATTTCTCGATTTTTAGGTATAACAATTACTCTACAACCTTTCCCCATTCGAAATTAAAAGAGAATTTTCAGATTAATATTTAGCACAACATCCACTAGTTAGCAAATAACTCCCCCTTTTAATTTAAGACTTGCGCTTTAAAATAATTTCGGAAAAATACGAAGTCCGATGCAGCCATAGCCACATGTGACACGACAGTACACTGTGGGGTGGATTTTGTATTTGCAAATACAAAAATGAAAACAAGAGCAAAAGCAAAAAAACGAAAAAGCGCAACAACTTGTGTACCTAATTTACCTGTACATTCCGAATTGAGTTCGGCGTCAACGTCGTTGAATGACGTCGTCATCATCAAGAGTAGTTTTTTTTTTCCTATAAAAACCACCCCCGCTCATAGACGATAAGTGCATATGTGTTTATGTGTTTGTGAGTTAAATATTTCACTCTCTGCTTGCGTTGGTGTGTGTAAAAAACAACAACTCGAACTCAAAGCAGGTGTAATACATAGTTATTGTTGTTTTTATTTTTGTGTATTTTTCTTTTTTTCGCTTTATTTTATTCTATAGATTTTGTTTTTGTTCAGTTTACAGTTTTTTGTTTTTCTATCTTTTTTATTTTGCTTGTTGGGAATTTCCCAAAATATTGTTATCGCATTCTTACAGGATGTTTCTATCCTTGTTACTTATCAACGAAGAGTTCTTCCACTTGCAAAATGTATGTTACTGGTGTATGGGTTTGTGTGTGAGTTACAGTTAGTGCGAGTGCAAAAAGTAAAAAAAACAACAATAGATTTTTTCCCGTGTATTGAGAAAGAAAAAAAAAAGAATAACAAAAACATATGAGAAAATAACGGTAAAAAAATGATGGTATTAGGAGAAGTAAATTCATTGTTTGTTGCGTTATTTTCAAGAGTGTGTTTGTAGGTGAGTTGTTGTTTATGGGGATGTGGTTGTTGTTGGGTGGTTGGGGTAGCAATTGAGCGTAATATAATGAATTTTGGGGAGAGCATAGGGTGCTAGGTTAAAATAAACATTTACACCAAGGTGTAATTTATATACATACATATGTATGTATGTACATATGTGTGTTTTAGTTGTTGTCGTTGTTGATTCATGATGATGACGACGATGATGATTTGAAATGGGTCAAAAGGTAGTGGACTTTTTTTTTTGCTTACTTTCTATGACTGTATAGTATAGTAAGCGTATATGTGTTTTGTGTACATTTACTAAAGCAGGCTGAAGGGGATGATGGTTCAAGTATTTTTATGCCAAACTGAGTGTTTGAGTAATTTGTATTGGAAAGAGGTGGTGGGGTTTTATTTTCTACCTTTAGAGAAAAGAAGTATTATGCGTTTTATTTGTGTTTGTTGTTGGCTTGATTTATTTGTTAGAAGTTGTAACTGCAGCATAGTCAGTTACTGTTGGTAATCTTTACAGTTGCTTTCTTTCTTATAGGAAAAGGCATTTCATTTAGTTATAAGTTTTGATCTATTGTATTTTTGTCCAAAATCATGTACAGTAGTTTTCCGATTTAACGAACCCATATGTTGTCAGGCCTGTTCGTAAAATTGAAAAGTTCGTTATATGCAGTACTAACTAAAACGTGGGTTTTTGGTAGGAAAATAATTAAAAATAGGTACATAAAATATTTTTTAAATGTATTTTATAAAAATTCTTTTTTTTTATAAAAATAGCACAAAACACAAAATTCCGAATCTTATATACCCACCTTCAAACCATATTTGTGTCGAATTTAATCGCTGTATTTTTAATTCAGTCATGAGCTTTAAAGTTATTTCTCAAAGTTCATCGCTATACTCGTATTTTTAAGCGAGTAATGAGCGTTGACGTAATTTTCTTAAGGGGGCCTGATATGGGGGGTAAGGTCAATTATGGACCGATTCCCATAAAATTTGTTAGAGATTTCGGTTAGTATAGAACATGTTTATATCGAATTTCATCGGCGTACTCGTATTGTTAAGCGAGTATTGAGCGTTAAAGTCATTATCTGAAGGACGGACGGACATAGCTACATCGAACTAAAATTTAATAAGAACCCAGAATGTGTTACAGTTTTGGGTATAAAAGCACCGCTTAAAACAACTGTATAGTTTTTTGCTACAACTTAGGTTATTTGTGATTTTTGATAAATGTCATTTTATCTTCATTTAAATAATAATATTTTTATTAGTTCGTTAAACAGAGTACAAAAAACAAGTTTTGTTCGTTATTTAAGGTAGTCAATAGGAAAAATTAGCTTGTTCGTTAAATGCGATGTTCGTAGAATTGAATGGTCGTTAAATCGGAAAACTACTGTATTTAATATGGGTTAATTTTGAAAGTTTATTGGGGTTTAAAGATTTGTTTTTATTTAAAAACCAGGTGTTATGTGTTATAAATCTCTTGGCTATTTAAGGGGTGATTGATTAATTTTATGTGTCCTGTTCTTATTTTGAGAATATTTGCTATTCATTACAGAGGGTGTTAGTTAAATATTTGATAATTGTAGTTATCTTATGTTTATCTTATCTCAGTGGTAGTTGTTGTTGTAATTGATTTTCTGAAATGATTTTGGTATAATGAATGGATTTTAATTTTTGTTTTCGAAAAATTAAAAAATATACACAAAACTCGTAATTTTACACAGAAAGTATAATTTTACACACAATGCCAAAATTTACCATACAAATTTTACACAAAATTTAAAAAAAAAAAACAAAACTTTGCACAAAAATCGTTTTTAAATAAAAAAATTGCACAAAATTTGTAATTTTACTCAAAATATGTTGTTTTACACAAAATGTGTAATTTTACACCAAATATGTAATTTCACACAACTGAAATTTTACACAAAATGTGTAATTTTACACAAAATGTGTAATTTTACACAAAATGTGTAATTTACACAAAATATGTAATTTTACACAAAATGTGTAATTTTGATCAAAATGTGTAATTTTGAACAAAATGTGTAATTTTACACAAAAAGTGTAATTTTACATAAAATGTTTGATTTAACACAAAATGTGTAATTTGACACAAAAAGTGTAATTGTGCACAAAATGTTTAATTTTACACAAAATAAGTTATATTACAAAATTTTTGTAATATTACACATACTTCTACTTTGCAATGTCTAATTATAGTAGGAAGTTATCAAATTAATTACAAATCTTATTTTTGCCCTGAATACTTCCAGTTGTTCCTACAAGAAAAATTTAGAAATTTGTGTAAATCGAAAACTTGGACAAGTGTTATATGCAGTATGACACTTAGTATATGATCTCTGTCACTCTCTCTTGTGTTACTTAGATGATTTTATTTTCTCCCTTTCAACTTATTATCCACAATCAACAACCTGTATGAATTCTAACCAAAATTGTTAACAAAAACTCCTTTCTTCCCAGTAAGCTCTTTCCATTTAGTTCAAAAATTGTATAAAGAGAGTTACATCCTTTAAATTATCGTGCTCTCTTTATATCTCTGTACTTCTATTACTTTCTAATTGGAGTGGAATTTGTGTATGCAACACAAAACTGTTCTACAAGGAGAATGTACTTGTTTCTTACCCTTATTTGTTGTAAAACAAATTGTGGTCAAAATCCATTTGATGTAAGTGTATGTGAGAGTGAGTGTGTGCAACCACGACATCAACAGGCAAAAAGCAACCTGCTGCTTTTTGTTTTTATTATTTTTCCTGTTTGTGTGTGATTTATTTTTTGTTCGTTTTGATACGATGTACTCAAGCGAGGAGTAAAAGAAAAACCGAAATACACGACGACAGAGAAAGACGACAACATAGACGATGGTGATGATGATGATGAAGGAAACGAAAGACAATTCAACGAAATTCAACAGTTCTTTTTTTGTTCGGTAGTGAGTGGCAAATGATAATCATCATGTGGATGATAATGATGAAGGTGGGTTTGACGTTGTCGTTGTGCTCTGCCCACGTTAACGTATATATTTCTTTCACAGATTTTTCAGTTTGTTTCGTTTTTAAGTGAATTGAGTGAGTCGTCGGCATCATTCGGTCGTGTGCTGTTGTATGTTATAAAATGTTGTTGTAAGGTTGTTTTGTGTCGTATTTTCTCTGTTTTTGTTTTATGTCTTTTTTTTGTTCGTGTATTGCTATTGTTGTTGTTGTTTTCCTTTTTCTCTGCTTGTGTATGTGTGCGCTTTTGGTCTGAAACTCCGAATAAAATTGTAGGTATATTACCTTAGTATGCCAAACGTTCTTACTTCAGTCTTCGTACAGTCTTTGCTTTAACCCGTTCCAAATTCTGTCCGCCGTTTGCTCTATATTATACAACAACAAAAATAATAATAAAATATAACAAAAAATATTAACACAGTTAAATTTTTTTATAAAATCCAAATAACAACAACTAACTACTCTTTTTTAAACAAAAATACAACAACAATAAAATAAAAATCTCAAAAATTTTGTTTTTGTTTTTTTCAAACGAGAATTGTTGATTTAAAAACAACTGAAAGAATCTCTCTTTTTTTTTCACTACAACATCATTATTAAGCAACAGCTACAATTATCATTAATATAACATTCACATAATCATCATTACAATTTACTACCACTGCTAACACTCTCTAACACAACTTTGTACCACGAGTTGTAAGTAAAAGAAGCCAACAGCAGCGCAGAGCAACATTAAGCAGAGGAAGCAGCAGAGCAGCATATTTTAGCTCTTGTGTGTTTTTTGCGCGTGTTTTTGTATGTTCATTTCATTCGGTATTTGTGCCTGTGTTTCTATTTCCCTGCAACTCTACTCTACTCTACAACACTCTCTACTAACTGCTCGGTGAATTTTCAAAAAAAAAAAAAAGCAACAGCTACAACAACTCAAAAAGTACCACCATCGTTTTTCAATAACGTTGAAAAATCAAAGTTGAGCTTAGAGGTTCAATTCGTAAACGTCAGTAATACCAGCAACATCGTTCTTAAACGTTGTACCTTGTACGTTCTTCATCCATACACACGTTCGTTTATGGTTTAAACGCTTTTAACGCAATAGTTAACGTTGGTCTCTCACGCAATAACAACCATCATTCTCTACGTTTTATTCAAACAAATAATAATACAATTTTTAACAAAAAATATCTTAAAATCTTTTAAAGATAATAATCAAATAAAACGGAAAATATAAAATAATAAAAAGTTTTAACAAAGTTTTAAAAAATAATTCAAAAATAAAATTTCATTTTAAAGTAATGAAATTTTTGTAAAAATTATAAAAATACTTCTTGAAAAGTAAAAAAAAAAAACGCGGTTTACAAAATTTCCTAACTTTAAACTCTTAAACCGAACTTCTTCATTTAGTGCTTAATTAAAACAGTGTCTAATTTTAAAAGAAATAACTTTAAAAATAATAAACAAATAAACTCCAATCTACAAGTTTTCTATATTTCCAAGCAAAAATTTTGTAAAAAAAAAAACCTCGTGAGTTTCTCTATCTTTAAACTTTTTTTAAACAATTATAACATTTCATTTATTTCTTTCATTATTTTCGGTAAAACCAAAAAAAAAAAACTTTTTTTCTTCTTTTTTTTTTGTTTCTTATGGTAACTTGTTTATATTTGTTTTTGTTGTTTGTTATACCTAAAAATAATAATTATAGACCTGCTATAATTATTTCCAAAATTCCTAAAAGATTTCAAGATATTAACCTATCTACTTTTTTTCGTATTTCTTTTGCTAAAACATCTTTAACATAATGATGAAGTATGAGTAGCAGCAAAAAAGATATGTATATAAAAACACAGCTTAAGCTGGAGTTAGTGTATTCATTCTTAAAAATATATACTTTTTTCGCATATAAAAAGCCATTTAACACAAAAAAACGTGCGATTCCAAACTACACCCAGTAACACATACAACTCAGCTACTCACTCGAACACACAGAAGAGAACTTGAAAAAAAAGCAAAAGTTCGTTGATACCTTTACACCATTTCCAAAAAAGATCAGCTTAAATTTAAGTTATGTTGAGTAAGACTATGATAGAATTTTTTAAAATTTGAAGCTAATTTTGTTAAGTTTGTTTTAACCAATTTCAATTTTAATGTCTTGCGAAATGGTTAGGAAATTCTAATAACTTTCTTTAAAAATCGGCTAAGACTTTTTTTATACGATTTCATATAGATTACGTATAAATCATTAACGTAAAGTTTGAACCCAAAATTAGCTTTGTTAGATTAATGAAACTTTTTGTTAGACTGACATTAATGTGATTAAAATTTTTATGCAAAATTTTAATTAACAATTCATAATTTTTGTTTTTTTTTATATTAGAAAAAGATCATTTAAATTCTCATAAATTCTATAAAAAACAAATTTTTACAAAATTGTCCGATATTTAAGTTTTTTAACTAATTCATTCTTTTCAAAACTTTTAAAAAAACTTGAAATTTATGCCATTATTTCTAATCCGTAAATCGTTAATTTGTAAACCCTAAATTGTAAAAAATTTTATATAAAAATTATAAATCTTTACAAAAATTTCTATTTCAATGAAAGTTTTGTTAAATTGTTAAATTGAAATTGTTTTAAAAATCAATTTCTAATTTAACTTTTTAATTTTTAAAATAATTGAAAAATCTGACTTTAAAAGTTCAATATAAAAAAGTTTACAATTAATTCTGAATAATTTTCTTTTAATTTCTTAAAGTCCATAACTTAAACTTTTGATTGAAAAAATCTGTTATTTTAAAAGTTCAATATAAAAAAGTTGACAACTAATTCTGAATAATTTTCTTTTTATTTCTTAAAGTCGATAAGTTAAACTTTCGAAATAAATAAAAATGTAAAAAAAAACAAAAATTTTATTATATAAAAAATTAAGTTAAAAAAATACATAAAATCACAGTTGAAAACCTGTTAAAATCTACTTTTAAGAAAATATTATCTCAAAATATTTGTCAAATTCGATTTTTATAACAATTTCTTTTTTATAGTTTTTGTTAAAAAACAGAACATTTTTCAAAATTTTTTTATATAAAAAATTTCTCAATCAAAAATTTTTCAAAAATTAATTTTACATTAAAATGCCTCTTTCATTAAAATGCGAATTGTTGAAAAACTGAAAAAAAAAAAAAAAAAAAAAAAAAAACAATAGTTTTAAAAGTTAGTTTTAAAAATAAGAAAAATTTCATTACAGAAACGTTTTTCATAAATTTTTCTTAAAATTTGAAAATATTCAGCATTTTTTTTAAATAAATTTTCTGTAAAGCCATAAATTTTCGCATATTTTTTGGTATAAATAAGTTTTTGTTGTGTCAACTAATTGAAAATATTTAAAAAATTATATTTTTCATTGTGATATGATTTTTTTCTAATAAAAACAAACAAAAATTTATTAATTTTTATTGCATCAACTAAATTAATTAGTTGTGGTTACAAATTTTAATGGAGACAACTAAGTTTGCCAAACTAAGCTAAGAGTTTTTTTAAATATTTTTTATGTCAATAGTTTTTGAAATTTAATATTTTTATCTCAATCATTTTTGAAATGACTTTGTTTATAACAAAGCAAAGCAAATCTAATAAAAAAGATGTCTTTATAATAGATTTTTTAAAGTGTCTTAAAATAAATTATGATTTAAATAAAATTTCTTTAAAAATATTTTCAAAAGTTTAGATTTTTCCTACTGGAAATGGTGTATAAGTATAAGCCGAGTTTAGAGTTTTCTTCTTTCCCCTCTACACAAACAATCTCTACAATTTAGCACCCCAGAAAGACAATCATTGAAGAAGAAAAAAAAAATGCCAAACAACCGGCAAAATAGAAATTCCATAAAAAAATAACACTTAAGACCTCAACCTCAGAATAAAACACGTTTATACTTAAGATTGTTAACGAAATTGGTAACAAAAGCAATACAACAATAAATCCCCAGCAAAAGAGAATTAGGAAACAAACAACAACAACATACAAAAAAGTAAAAAGAGCGAAGCTACACAAGTTGGCAACCTTTTTTTTAAGCAATTTCAAGAAATACAAAAACAAAAAAAAAAAAAACACTTAAGAGACTTTGCTGAATTACTTTTTATCTTTTTTTCCTTACTCAGAAAAAAAAACCGAAAAAACACACATTCTTATAAGCCTAAAACAAGCTAAGAAATACAAAAATAAAACAACCACAAAGGAAAAAGGCCAAGAATTGAACAAAAAAAAAAAAAAAAAAGGCAAGAAAACCTCATTATTAACAACATAATGATCATAATAATGATATTGTTTAGTATTACCTTAATGGTTAAAGACACAACTTATAGACAAGAAAGAGAGATAGATATTTAGGAAAAAAATAACTAGAAATAAATTCGTACCTAAATATATGTACTTAAAGTATAGGCCTAAATGTTTAAAACCAAACTAAATTGTGGTAACACAAGAATTCTGTTCTGCTCTTTCTCTAATATTTCAAAAATATATATATTTCTTTCAAAACCTCTTAACTCTTTCCTGCTGTCTGCTTAACTGACTCAAACTGCTAAAAAAAGAATAAAATTAAAAAAATATATAGTATATATATTTTTATAACTAAAATGTGTATAGTGTTTAAGTGTTTTTTGGAAATAAATTATAAAAGTGTGTAACAACAGTAACAACAAACTGAAAAAACACTGAAAATAAAAGTAATTCCTCAAAGTCATTAAAACCAAGACCAATAACTCGCTAACACGTAGGAAATATTAAATAAACAGAAGAAGAAAAAAAAGTTTTAAAATATTGAAAGAAATACATTTGTTGTAAAATCTTTAAATTAAAAAAAAAAATAATTAAATTTTATATATATTTTTTTTCTTTAATTCTAGTGTTTGTTTCTAAACGTCTAACTACCAAACTTTTACTTCTAAAAAACCCTAAAAAAATTAATCAAAATATCACAATCAAAATAGTGTTAAACCAATAAATATTTAAAAAAAAAAACCCTGTGCAATATATAAAAAAAATCAAAATATTTTTCTAAAGAAAAAATATATATAAAAGTGTAAAATCTGTTTAGCAACAAGTTATTTGATTAATCAAACGTTGAGCGCCAAAACTGCAAAAGAAAAGTTTGAAATTCATTCATCAGATTTTAAATAAAACTCTCATTTTACATACTTTTCATCACAAAACTTTTTGACTACACTAATTGGTAATGTTTACACAAGTTTTTCTTTATTTTTTTTCTAATAATAATTTTAATTTTAATATAATTTTTTTTTTTTTCATTAAGTTTTAGTTTTAAGTTTTAATTTATCATAATTTTTAAAGATTTTATTTAGTTTAAAAACCAGCCTTTTAGTAATTTTCTAATTAATGTAATTTTTCAAAATGATCCCCATAACAATTCAGATTAAAAATAATAAGATTTTTTATTCGTTATAGAAGATTTTTCTTTCTCTATGTCATTTTTAGTCTAAGCAATAGAAATTTTCCAAAAAAAAAAAAAAAATCGAAATCCTGCTAATGTAATTTAAAATTAGCTATCGCAACTATCTAATTTAGTTACTAGCATCAACTTATGAGAGAAACAACAAATTTAAAGGCAAATTTTTAACAAAAACTTTTACTCATAACAATTAGTTCTTCTTTGTTAATAAATTAGTTTCTTAACGCTAACTAATCAGGTGTTAGCTAAACGAATTAGTTACTGTTACAAATTTTTGTCATCACAACTAATAATTTGCATATTTTGAAAAATTTTATTATTAAAACAACATTTTTTAAATAAACACTTTGATTTGCTAAATTTGATTTAAATTCCTCAAAAAAGAAGCAAATTTAATTAAACCAAATTTTAAGAAACATTTTCTTAGTTCAATAAACAATTTTTCGTCATTAATTTAGTTACAACAACATTAAATTAGTTACAGCAACCAATTCCAGAGATTAGTAAATACATTTGCTAAGTTTCCTTACGTTAGTCATTGAAATTAGTTGACATAAAAAATATTTTTATTAAAGCCACTTAAATTACTTAGTTGTTGTAACAAATCTTTGTTCTACACAACTAACTATTTGTCTAAAAAAATCGAATGCTGCTAATTTCATTTCTAATTAGCTATTGCAACTATTTAATTTAGTTACTAGCATTAACTAATGTGATAAACAACAAAATTAAAGTCAAATTTTTTACAAAAACGTTTACTCATAACAACTAGTTCTTCTTTGTTATTAAATTAGTTTCTTAACGCTAACTAGTTACTGTTACAAATTTTTGTGATCACAACTAACTATTTTGAAAAATTTTATTATTAAAACAAAATTGTTTAAATTAACACTTTGATTTACTAATTTGATTTAAATTCCGCAAAAAAGAAGCAAATTAAATTAATCCAAATTTTAAGAAACATTTTCTTAGTTCAATAAACAATTTTTCGTCATTAATTTAGTTATAGCAACATTAAATTAGTTACAGCAACCAATTCTAGAAATTAACAAATACATTTGCTAATTTTCCTTACAGTATGTTAGTTATTGAATTAGTTGACACAACAAATATATTTTATTAAAGCCAGCAACAAAATTACTTAATTGTTGTAACAAATCTTTATTCTACACAACTAACTATTTGTCTATTCAGTGTAATTTTAATATGAAGCTTAAAAATGTTGAGAATTTAAACTCTATTGACCTGATTTAATTTAAATTTCTAACAAAAAGACACACACTTTATAAATAATATTAATAAATAATATTTGTATTTAAACTTCATTAATATTTATGGAATTTTGCTGTAACAAATGTGTTCTTTTATTAGAAATTATTTCTCAATAGTATTTAAATCTTTTGTCACTTAATTTATTCCTAATACTTACATATGTATTAATAAATATTAAGTTTAACATTTCAATTTCAAAACAATAAGAATTTAAATAAACTTACAATTTAATTTTTTCTTAAGAAAATATCTCAAACAATAATCTTTTAACAACTCCTAATCAGATTTTATATTAAAAGATATTTTCATTTCTTAAAGATTTTCTTGTCTATAAAAAGTGTTATTAGAATAATTGACAATTTGTAACAAAAGTATAATGACTACAAAAATTATTAAGATTTATTTAGTTGCTATTAAAATTCTTTCAATTTTAGAAGTTTAAAAGTTTAGTTGTAGCAAATAATTGATTGTGATTTTAAAAAACTAATTTTTGTTGTATGTTTTTAAGCCCAAGAAAATTATAATATATTGTATTGCCTTAACTAAGTAAACAAAATCTATTGAAAAGTTTTAGTTGTGGTTACAAAATTTAATGGTGACCACTAAGATTTACCTAAAAGAACTTTTAAAAAGAGAAAAAGAAGTATAATTTACTATATGGAAGTACTGAAAAAGAATGCAGAAGTGATGATTTTAACACAGGCTTGTCATAGGAGGAATGTCCCTTTTATTTGATATCAAATTCACTACTTTGGTAGTCATTCTTTGGAACTTATTTGCAAGTAAAATTGTAGCTTTATAGAATACAACTAATTTGACTTAAATAATATTGGCAAATAAGCTTCTTCGGAAGTCATTAAACTCCACTTCCACAAAAGGTGAAAAAATTCACTTAGTGCTACTTTTTGAAGTGGTGATAAATGTTATTCTTTTGGAAGTACTTCATTTTATTTTTGCTAGGAATTGCAACAATTGTTGTTAAATATTCTTTAATTATAATCTCTTCAAATCTAAAGTTATTTTAAAACGAATAGTTTTTTTTGTGCCAACCAATTAATGCGGAGTTTTAACAATATATTTAGTTGCGCTTGCAGTTGTTGAATTCAGATAAGCAGAACCGCATTACTTTGTATTGGCTCAACTAAAATTTTTTAAGAAGACAACTTATTAGACAAGGTTTGCTATAATTTCTTTAGATTTAAAAAAGAAATTAGAAAGTTTTAAAACGAGTTGAAGGTAGAAATGGTCCTTCGCAACCAGAGCTGGTTATTGTTTATTTTATTTATATATGATTTATTTGAAAACTTTTTGCGTTAAAAACATTTTGTTACATTATTACGTTTTTTGTTTTTATCTAAAAAAGTTTTTACGAAATTTTCTATTTAAAGAAAGAGTAAGTGACAAAAATTTTCAAATAATCCATTTTTCGGTTTGTCATCAAGTATTTTTAGAAAAAAGTAGATTTGATTTGAATTTAAAACAAATTATTTCTTTAAAACTTAAGCTCAAATTTAGTAATATTTTTTGGATTTTGAAAGAGAATAAAATATTTTTTATGAAAGCTTGTCATAATTTAGAATCAAGAAAGCTAGACAAATCGGAAACTTGTCTTCTCTCATTGAGAGCAATACTTATGTGTTAAGTATTCTTAACTAAATGAGAATTTTATGGATTAACATGAAGCATTTTATAGATTTTATTTATAAAATTTTTTTGGAATTTATTTTAAATAGTTTTTTTTGTCACTTACTATTTCATTAACCTAAACTGTTTTTAATTTATTTTTTTTACTAAATAATAACAAATTTATACTAACTCTACTTTTTCCATAATTGAATAATAGTAATAAAACAAACAGCTACTAAGAATAAACAACTGTTCAATATACATGTGGTATCCTTTCTAAGAAAAAATCCCTGCAAAACAATCCTTAAAATTTACACTCCTTCTTAAACTCCTGAAAAAAAAAACGATTTTAAAAAATTTTGAAACAAATTGTTGCAAATTAACAAATTAACAGTATTAATTTTTTACATATCAAAAGAGCAAAAAAAAAGCTAAATAATATAATAGAAAAAGGAGCTTAGCATTTGATTAAGGAAAATATATTTGAAATTATTAAAAAATAAATATTTTTATTAAATAATTGTAAATTTTAAAGAAAATTTTAATTGTAAAAAAGAAAGAAAACAAAACAAGGTTGTTTTTGTCTCACGAAAAAAAAAAAATATTAAAAAAAAATTTTTTGAAACTGTAAAATTACACAGAAATCAATTAGCAATTCGTAAGGTTGTTGTATAATAAATTAAATAAAAATTTTAATTAAATACTAGAGTAAATTTCTCTCAGAAAACTGTTATAAGTAACAATTTAGCAATCAAAAAAAAAGAATTAAACAATTCAATACCCCGAACCCAAGTCAATTGTATAAAATAAAAGAAAAATTAGCAAAAAGTATCTTATATACAAAAACTTTTAACAAAACACTTTTGTGAAATATTTCTGCTAGCATTATAACTTTATAATAAATTATTATTAAAAAACAAAAACAGTTAGTGGGATTTTGACTATATTTGACAAAATCCTTAAATGTATTAAAAACACATTGTAAAAAAACTAACTCAAGAAAACGCGTTTTGACAATCATATAAAATCAATAGCGTATAAATAACAAACAAATAATTATATCTATATAAAAAAATATTTTTAAAATTTTCTCTTATATACTTAAACTTATAAATTAGTGTGTTTACTCTTTTGAACACCTTAACCCCTCTAAAACGACAATCTTTTAAGATCTACAAAATAAACTTATCTTAAATTCTTCAAACCAAATCTATGTGATCTTTATATATATATCAATCCTCAAACTCTGACAATCTGTCTACAAATTTTACTCTTAAAAATTTATACAATTTATTCTAGTAATTTAATCAAAAACTAGTCTTATAAAATATTAATCACAATATTTTATCTTAATATTTATATAACTATAGATTAATAATCTTTTCAATTATAAAACTAACAAAACATACGTATATTATAAACTAATTAACTAACTATTGCACAAATTTATAACAATACTAAATATTCAAATTTTAAACCATAATCATATAGATCTTATTGACAATCTTATTCAATCAATCATCTATCAACTATTTATAGGCCTAACCTCAAAATTTAAACTCAAAGTGTTTCAAAATACTTTTTTTCTTTTTACTTAAAACTTAAAAAGCAACACTTATCAAATAATCATCACTAAACAATCTACAGAATTACCTTTATTTATATAAATAATATATAAATTTTTAGCAAATAAGTAGAAATTATATTATAACAATTAAATTCTAATCAAATAATCAATCAAAGTGCATAATATAGCAAAGAGAAATATAGTAAATCAAGGCAACAATTTGTTTAATTAAAATAATTGCTAAAACAACAAAAACTTAAACTTGAACTTAACAGCCATAATCAAAACCCCTCTTTAAAACCCAACCCATAAATTTTATCCTTATAACGACAATTACTTCCTTCCTTCCTTCCTTCCTTTTAAAACCCCCAAATACCACAATAATTTCGTTATAATCAACAAATAACAACCAAACCAATAACTTCAAAAATAAACCTTAAATTTGTAACAATTCATATAAAAAATAATAACAAAAACATTAAAGTTAATTAAATTTGCCAAAACGTTAAAAAAAAATAAATAAACAAAAATATTTAAAAAAATCCAGAAGAATAGTGTCAGTGTTTTTAAAAAAACGTTTGCAAAGAAATTAAATTTTCTACCAAGCAGTTGCTTCAAAAACCAACAACTTCAGCTTCAACAGAAAAAAAACCAAGTTTTTAACTTAACTTTATAATGGTAAGAAGAAGTTTCTCTAAGTTCTTCAATAGCTTAAAAAGTTAAAGATGTTAATTTTTCAATATTATTTCAATTAGGGGATTTAGGCCTCAATAAAGAATAGATTTTTCGCTTTTTTTTATAGCTTTATAATAAATGTATTTGAAACATTTGACGGGGACCATATATAACTATTTGAAACATGTTCGTGTAACTCACATTTGGTATTGTATCGTTGTATTTTTTCAACTTAAATATTCTACAACAAGTTTGTTTTAAACGGAAAAAATTAACAATATACATCGATACAACCGCCGATTATGAATTAGAAATGTATTTAACTTTTTGCAGCATTAAAAAATATACTTGTACAATTCACAATCAGTGTTGTACGGTTGTATTGTAGTATATCGTAATTTATTTTATTATTGATTTTTTTTTTTTTTTTGTGACATACAACGCTACGATGTATCGCAGTATGTCGTAATTTTTTATTAATGTTTTGTTTCAAAAAGTTTTTATTAAAAAAAAAAATATATACATACACAGAGGAAAAAAAGCATACACGCCTGGTACCAAATTGACACCAAATTTTTCAATAACATCCGTTGTCAAGTATATACATACAACAACAACATGTAATGTAGACCACGCAACTTTGACAACATTGCAACAATTCGTTGTGGCAATCTAAACTTTATAAACACACGTTGTCTTAAAGTTAACCGACGTGGTTAGCTCAAAATGCGTTGTATAGTGAACTACCACTTTGTAACATTTAGACAACGCATGTGCAATTAAGTTTAGATTGCTACAACGCATTGTTGCAATGTTAACAAAGTTGCGTGGTCTACATTACATGTTGTTGTTGTATGTATGTATATACTGAAAAATTTGTTTGTCAATTTCGGTACCAGGCCGTGTATATTTTTTTCCTCTGTGTACATACAACGATACGACAACGATTGTGAATTGAACAAATGTTTTTCTCAACCTCTGGACTTTAACTGCCTTATTCATAAACATTTGTCAAGGGTTTATAGAACAACTTTTGTATGAAAATTTGCTTTATAAATCTTTGATCAAAGTTTATGAATAAGGGAGTTACATTTTAATTTGTTTAAAAATGCTTTTT